GGGGGGGAAGTATTGTGGTAACCATGGTGACGGGAGCGTCGCGGTCGCCATGGCGACGGGGACTCACCGAGGGCCGGAAGGGGGGTGCGGGCGGCGCGTCCATGTTGATGCTGAACTGCTTCCCACCGGGAACGCTCTTCCTGCGGGAGCGGCCGCCGTGGTAATCTGGGAATCGGGGGGTACGGGGGGGTCAGCGCAGCCCAAAATCCGGGGGGACCCCAAAATCCCGCCCCGAAAACCGGGGGGATCTCAAAATCCCACCCCAAAACCCAGGGAATCCCAAAATCCCACCCCGAAACCCAGGGGTATCTCAAAATCCCACCCCAAAAATTGGGGGCATCCCAAAATCCCATCCCAAACACCGGGGGGACCCCAAAATCCCACCTGAAAATCTGGGGGATCCCAAAATCTCACCCCAACACTGGGGGAGACCCCAAAATCCCACCCCACCACTGGGGGGATCTCAAAATCTCACCCCAAAACTGGGGGAGACCCCAAAATCCCACCCCAACACTGAGGGGGGGGGAATCCCAAAATCCCACCCCAAAAACCAGGGGATCTCAAAATCCCACCCCAAAACTGGGGGGATCCCAAAATCCCACCCCGAAACCCGGGAGATCTCAAAATCCCACCCCGAAACCGGGGGAATGCCAAAATCCCACCCCAAAACCCGGGGGGGACCCCGAAATTCCACCCAAAACCCCAAAATAACGGGATCATGGAGGATCCCCAAAATTCCCTCTCCCCATCGATCTATGGAGACCCCAAAATCGCCCCCAAAGCCCCTCTGGGGGGTCCCAAAATCTGCCCCAAGGGGGATGGGAGGGGGAAATTTGGGGTCTGGGTGGGGATTTTGGGGGGAATTTGGGGGGTTTTAGGGGGGTCACGGGAGGTGAGGGGACCCCAAAACCCAGAGAGACCCCAGATTCCACACACCAAAATCCGGGGAGACCCCAAAATCGCCCCCAAAGCCCCTCAGGGGGTCCCAAAATCTGGCCCAAGGGGGATGGGAGGGGGAAATTTGGGGTCTGGCAGGGGATTTTGGGGGGAATTTGGGGGGTTTTAGGGGGGTCACGGGAGGTGAGGGGACCCCAAAACCCAGAGAGACCCCAGATTCCACACACCAAAATCCGGGGAGACCCCAAAATCCCACCCCAAAACCCAGGGGGGACCCCGAAATCCCACCCAAAACCCCAAAATCCCAAACCCAAAATTTGCTCCTTGAGGGGATGGATGGGGGAAATTTGGGGTCTGGGGGGGATTTTGGGGAGAATTTTGGGGGGGTCAGAGGGGGTGAGGGGACCCCAAAATAACGGGATCATGGAGGATCCCCAAAATTCCCTCTCCCCATCGATCTGTGGAGACCCCAAAATCGCCCCCAAAGCCCCTCTGGGGGGTCCCAAAATCTGCCCCAAGGGGGATGGGAGGGGGAAATTTGGGGTCTGGGTGGGGATTTTGGGGGGAATTTGGGGGGTTTTAGGGGGGTCACGGGAGGTGAGGGGGTCCCAAAACCCAGAGACACCCCAGATGCCACACCCCAAAATGCAGGGGGACCCCAAAATCCCAGCCCCAACCTCTGTGGGGGTCCCAAAATTTGTTAACTAAAGGGGATGGATGCGGGAAATTTGGGGTCTGGGGGGGATTTGGGGGGGGGTCTTTGGGGGGGTCAGAGGGGGTGAGGGGACCCCAAAACCCAGAGAGACCCCAGATTCCACACACCAAAATCCGGGGAGACCCCAAAATCCCACCCCAAAACCCGGGGGGGACCCCGAAATCCCACCCAAAACCCCAAAATCCCAAACCCAAAATCTGCTCCTTGAGGGGATTGAAGGGGGAAATTTGGGGTCTGGGGGGGATTTGGGGGGAATTTGGGGGGTTTTAGGGGGGTCACGGGGGGTGAGGGGACCCCAAAATTTGGGGACATCTCGGATTCCACACCCCAAAATCCGAGGAGACCCCAAAATCCCACCCCAAAACCCGGGGGGGACCCCGAAATCCCACCCAAAACCCCAAAATCCCACCCCCAAAATCTGCTCCTTGAGGGGATTGAAGGGGGAAATTTGGGGTCTGGGGGGGATTTTGGGGAGAATTTTGGGGGGGTCAGAGGGGGTGAGGGGACCCCAAAATAACGGGATCATGGAGGATCCCCAAAATTCCCTCTCCCCATCGATCTGTGGAGACCCCAAAATCGCCCCCAAAGCCCCTCTGGGGGGTCCCAAAATCTGCCCCAAGGGGGATGGGAGGGGGAAATTTGGGGTCTGGGTGGGGATTTTGGGGGGAATTTGGGGGGTTTTAGGGGGGTCACGGGAGGTGAGGGGACCCCAAAATGGGGAGGGGGATTCCAAAATCCCATCCCTGACCTGTGAGAACCCCAAAATCCCACCCCCAAATCCTCCGGGGGGGGCCCAAAATCCACGCCAAGGGGTGAAGGAAGAGGAAATTTGGGGGAAATTTGGGGAAGTTTTTGGGGGTCTCAGCAGCCCCCCGGGACCCTCCCCCCGCTCTGCTCCCCTCCCCCAGCCACCCCCACCCCCAAATTTTTTGGTCCACCCCAAAATGTTGGGGTTCCCCCCCCCCTAAATCCCCTTTAATCCCTCCCAAAAGTCTTCCCCTGCCCCCCAAACCCCCTCGACCCCTCCCCAAATTTGGGTCCCCCTAATTCCACCCCCCAAACTGAGCCCCCCTCCCCAAATTTGGGGTCCCTTTAGTTCTGTCCCAACTCCCCCTCCCCAAAACCCCCTGGGACCCCCCCCCCCCCCCCTCTCTCCCCCCCCCCCACCCCCCCCTCACCCCCACCCCCCCACCC